CTCCATGTATATCCAGTTTTTCACGCATCAAAGTTATTACCTTGCACGATGAGTCAACAGTTTGCGTCGAGAAGGTCAATGATTCCTCCAGACATGGACGAAAGGTACAACATTGATCATATAGTTGACGAGGATGTGTTCAGAATAGGAGGTAGAGGTCATCCATAGAAACCGTATAAAGTCAGATTCTCTTTTCAAGAACCAGAAGACGACCGCTGGTTCACACGAACAGAGCTTCTAGAGACCGCTCCCGATATAGTTCGAGCCTATGAGAGAGATAAGAAAGGGAAGGGTCCTGCCTTGGATTGAAGTATTCTCGGAGGACCTCGAATTTAGGCCGGCGGGAGTGAAATGGTTTTCACCTTTGCAGTAGCAGATGCAGATCCCAGGGCTCGATCCCTAGACCTCACCTCACCCGTGTACAGTACCCCTGTGTGTTTGAACCCGTGACCTGCGTTTTAGGAGTCAGTTGTTGTTTGTTGTAGGTCGATGTAGCTGTCGGGTCATGAACCGTAGGTCTGTCGAGTAGGGGTCATAGTTGTGTAGAGGCCGTAGCTGTAGCAATTCTGAAAGGTCAAGGCCGTAGCTGCGATAGTCCTGAATGGTCAAGGTCGTAGCTGCTACAGTTCCGAAAGGCCAAGTCCCAGTCTCACTTAGTCCAGTCAGCAAGTACCATGTGGAACTGTATGCACCAAGGGCCCGGTGGAAAGGGGGCAGACGAGCAACCAACAGAAGTATAAATCAAGAGGCAGCGTCCAACCATTCATTCATTCCTGCGTGAGCCATGCAGAAGCGCTGCCCAGGCGTCTTGTGTGAGATGGTCTGCAGATGCCCGAAGTCGAAGTGGGCTGAACGGAGATAGAGCGTCCACAGCCAGTAGTGATTGAGCGGCCATAGCCGCTATAGCTTAGAGATAGTTTCAGTGTGTGTGTATGATACAGAGTTTGTGTGCGTGGGATATCCAGGGAGATCCAGAGTCGAGTGCGTGTGAGCAGTTGACGTGAATACAGAGCTGGGGAAGTGGGTTGTGTAAGCGCTCAGGCGCCATAGTCAAATTGCAACGAGTTTGTATCTGAACTGTGTTCTAGACTTGAATATCTCTCAGCTTGGTGTGGGCGCCCAGCGCCAGTGTGGTTTACCATCTGTTTGCATGTATCTGAAGTGAAGAAGAAAGTGAGTCTGATTGCAAAGAATAAAAAAATATGAGTAAGCAAAATCTGATAGAAATTGAAGGATTAGTTACACAATCTTTTTGCAATGCTATGTTTCGAGTGATGTAGTATGTGGGGGATTTGCAGCACCGCTTAATTACACAGATTATTGCATAATAATTACTGACAGTAGATTTGATGCACTATTTGCCGCAAATAGGATTGCTTAAAATGGCCTTTACGAATTAGACCCTAGATGAATGCCCAACAGCGAGGGGTCCTGTCGGCCAGAACTTAAATTCACGAGCAGTAATCCAAGAGACAGGTTCCCTGAGGCATATGTCGCATCCAGAATGAGATGCATGGGTCCAGAGACCATTATACTACGAACCAGTCATCCAGATGTCATGGTTACCAATGTACTCGTCACCTTAGACAAAGGTAGGAGAGAGATGTCCCATTCCAATAGACAAAGGTAGAGAAGAGTTCCCTGTCCCCCATAGGCAAAGGTAGAGAAGAGATGCGTTGCCGCCGCTTATATTATCAAAAATGTCTGATTACATCAGCTTCCAGTCTCTCAATTTCATCACAACAGCTCATAAATCAACTTTGTTCATCATCCCATCAATATGGAGACCAGCGCAGCAACATCACCATGTCGAAGTACAGCATTACTCAGGTAAGTGGCATCTTCTCCTCTCTCTCTCTCTCCTCCTTATTTCTTCCTCTCTCTCATGAGCACATTATCTCTCTTGTCTCATGAAGATCTCGTTCAGAATACACTCACAGATTGAACACCAACTAGTAGACTAACAT